ATGGAATTCTATGCCTCCAGAAAGAATGACATTGCCCCATTTGTTAGGAAATGGAAAGACTTGGAAAAAATTATATTAAGTGAAGTAAGCCAGGCCCAAAGGACCATAGTTCCCATGGTTTCCCTTATTTGCAATAAGTAGTATATGTCTGAGAGATGCAGAAAAGGTCAGAAAAGTTGATGTTAGGTGAAATGAACCCCAAGATAAGGGTTCAAATGTTTTTTCTTTCTTGTGATTGTTTCTAACATATTTATAAGATGATTTCTTTGTTGCTTTGTATGTCCCTCCCCCATGGGATAACCCCCGTTTTCACTGTATTTGATGTTGTTATAATTTGTGGAGGAGAAGGGCAAAAACAAACTGTTTAAATAGGGATACAGGTGGATCCATTGCAACAATGAGATGTACAAGTCGTTATGTCAAAAAACGAATTTAAATTCTCTTGAGATAATAATCTATATTTTATTAAAGAAGATAACCAATCTGGGGTATACCTAGGAATATTTTTTGGATAAAATTTCTAATTTGATATTTTTGTATATTGTAGAAATAAATGGCATCTTATCTGTAAAGAAGAATAAAATTCTGTTTTTTCAGGAAACTGGAATGAAACTGGAGATCATATGAAGTGAGCTATGCTAATCTCAGTAAGACACAAAAAACGAAGTTCATTCATATGCAAAACCTGTCCCTAAAAATATGTCACATTGTAAAAGGGAATTTTTTTTTGGGGGGGAACATCAGTGGGGGATGGAAGATGGAAAAGAGAAGCTGATGAATATATTCTGTAAATGTATGTAAAGTCTATTTGATCTCACGCTGAACTCTGGGGGAATCTTCTTTTTAATGAGTATTACTGCTGAATGATTCACCCTTTGTCCCACCATTTCTGGGCTTCCATATGATCATATAAAGTGATGCTTATCAAAATGAACTCCAAGAAATTGAAGCAAGAGGTTTTTTTTTTTAAATTGCACTTTGTGGTTCATTTATTTACTTATTTAGTTTCTTCTTTCCTTTTTTCCCTTGGTTTCTTCCCTTCTGTCACTGTTATTATATTTTTGTACCCTTTGTCTTATATATCAGTTTATCTGATTTGGGGAGCAGAAGGGGAAGCACAGAAATGGGGGACAAAGGGTGAACCAATTCAGCAGTGATATTAGACACTATGTTGGAAATGAACTTTAGAACTTAGGGGAAGGGGGTTGGGAGGGGGAAAACTGGGAGAGCATGAGGGAGAGGGTGACACTATTACAAAAGAAATGTACTCATTACCCGACTTACGTAACAGTAACCTCTCTGTATATTACCTATACAATAATATAAAAAAATAAGAGTCCACCAAAAATTCATATGGAACAATAAAAGACCCCAAATAGCAAAAAGGCTCCTCAATGGAAAGAACACTGCTGGAGGAATATCAATACCAAATTTCAAACTCTACTATGAAGCCATAGTAATCAAAACAGCTTGGCATTGGCATAAGAACAGACCTCAGGACCAATGGCATGATGAAAACCATCACCCTGAAGGGCTGTCTGGCTCAGATATTCTTCTTCCACTTCCTTGGGGTGGCTGAGATCTTGTTGCTGGTGGTGATGGCCTATGATCGCTATGTGGCCATCTGCAAACCTCTTCATTACATGAACATCATGAGCAGTCCACTGTGCCACCTGCTGGTGGCTGGTTCCTGGATGGGGGGATTTCTTCATTCCATAATTCAAGTTCTCATCGCTGTGCAGTTGCCCTTCTGTGGTCCCAATGTGATTGACCACTACTTCTGTGACCTCCAGCCGTTATTCAAGCTGGCCTGCACGGACACCTTTGTGGAGGGAGTGATTGTATTGGCTAATAGTGGCTTAATTGCCTTGTGCTCTTTCCTTATCCTTGTGGCCTCCTACATTATCATCCTGGTCCACCTGAGGAAGCATTCTGCAGAGGGGAGGCGCAAGGCCCTCTCCACCTGCGCCTCGCACATCACCGTGGTGGTCTTGTTCTTTGGACCGGCCATCTTCCTCTATATGCGCCCCTCTTCTACCTTCACTGGGGACAAATTGGTGGCCGTGTTCTACACCGTCATCACCCCCATGCTGAACCCCATCATCTACACACTCAGAAATGTGGAGGTAATAAATGCCATGAAGAAGTTGTGGGGCAAAAAATCCTTAATGGTGGGGTGAAAGGAGAGAACAGATTTCAAGAAAAGCAATTTGATTGTTGTTGAAACTGATTGTTTGCTTTTATGTAAGAATTGCAGCAATGAACATAAGGATACAATTTTACCTTTACTTTGATTCCCCTTAGCAACGAAAAACACTGATATTCAGATGTAATGCCCAAGGAAAGTGGTCAGATAGTCCCACTGAATCTCATGGAATTTGACTGACTCAATGATGTCCACCATAATCATGGCATTGGCTAATTCTTTTGTTTGTGTGTGCTGATCCTGGGGTTTGAACTCAGGGCCTGGGTGTTGTCCCTGAGTGTTTGTGCTCAAGGGTAATGCTCCACCACTTGAACTACTGCTCCATTCTAGCTTTTTGCTGGTTAATTGGAGGTAAGAGTCTCATGGATTTTCCTACCCAAGCTGACTTCGAACTGTGGTCTTCAGAGCTCAGCCTCCTGAGTAGCCAGGATTACAGGTGTCAGCCGCCAGTACTTAGCTGGCTTTGTCACAAGACAATTACAAACATAAATCAAACCATTTGCATTTCCATTGTTACATAGTCATTGCACATAATTGCAGGTACAGAGTGATAGTTCAAGATCTGTATACAATAAGTGATTGTGGTAATGGTATATCTATCACCTTAGACATTTTGTAACTCTTGGTGTTGAAGAGAGACAACATGTTCCCTAGTAATAACTTTTAGACACTTAAAATAATTCTTTTTTTTTAATTTTTATTTTTTTTTGGGTCCGGTCGTGGGGCCTGAACTCTGGGCTGGGGCGCTGTCCCTCAGCTCTTCAGCTCAAGGCTAGCACTCTACCACTTGAGCCACAGCGCCACTTCCGGCTTTTTTCTTTTTGCTTA